ATATATATATATATATATATATATATATATATATATATATATATATATATAAATAAATAACATTTGTTTTCTGAGGTTTTCACGGGTGTTAGTATGTAGGTCTTTGGTTATTCGCGTTTTCTCCCGCATAAAATTGGAGGTGTCTTGGCGACGTTTCGACAAAGTCTCATTCGTCATTGCTCCTGGAAGCACAAAGCTCTTTGGAAATATTTTAAACTCTATCTTCAATTATCACCATGGTTTTGTAAATATTCTCAGCTCTTCCCTTCATTCTTTCTCTTCTTTGTTCTATAATCTCAAGACTCTTTTCAATGTTCTCTGTACTTATTAGTACTTTTTGAATTTCTAGCATAATATTTTGCAATGTTAATTCCTTTTCTTCTTTATGTTACACCATTTTTCCAAGTCGTAAGCACTGCCACTGAACCATCCAAGACTTATTGCTAGGTTTCAAACAAATTACTACAATCTTTCAAGTCCAGGCTTTCTCTTTACTCCAGTCCAGCTACTGATAATACTCCAAAAGAGCAGCTGTATAAAATCGTTCATGTCGTGTTATAGCGACGTCAGCCCCTCCTCTCCTCCGATCTGTGATGATTTTGAATCAGTGACTCCTGACTTCTTTTTGCTGTTATCTTGGCCCCTTCTAAATCATGAGAATGGTCAGGAAGTGACCTGTAGTTGGATCTAACTTTCCTTTGGGGGGAAATATTGTTAAGAAAGTGGGCAAATGGCTGCTTACAGAAAACCCTGCAGGAAAAACATTAACTAGATCCATTTCAATTGGTTTTCAGGCCAGTATTTAGTACAGAAATAGTCTTAGTAATATAGGCAGACCTAGGGTAGATGTGGTACATCCATTTTTATGCAACTTCTTAACAGCTTTTGGTACCATCAACCCAATCCTGGACAATTCTGGGAGTTGAGGATGGGGTTCTTTCTTTCAGGGCAAGATACATGTACATAGAGTCCTTGATTTATGACTGTACTGGAGACTGCCCATTAAGATTGCAGGTGGTGATGGCTGCTAATCAAAATGGCCTCATTTAATGACCTCAGCTCCTGCTGTTCCTGGGTTGGAAGTAGGCCGTTGAATGCTACAGCTGGCTGAGGAGCATTCAAGCCCTGCAAGTCCGTGGGTGGGTGGATGGGAAGCAGGCTAATACCTACAAACTGTAACTACCCTCCATGCATCCATAGCTTCTGCAGCCCATCTTAGGCTTGCTTCAATGGCTGGATGGAAAGCAGGCCTTGGCCAACAGACTGTAATTACCCTCTATATGCCAGTTCATTCTGCTGAACAGCTTTAGACTTCTCTGCATGGCGGAATAACTAGGTTGGGAGCAGGCTGTGGCCTAGGGGAATCTCAAGAGGCAATGAGTGGTGCACTGGATTGAATTGAATTGAATTTATTTCATTTATATGCCGCCCTTTTCCCCGAAGGGGACTCAGGGCGGCTCACAATCC